CTTGAGCCACATCCCCAGCCCGGGATCCTCAGTTTAAAGATTAACTGCTGCACTGACTAGTAGGAGCCAACATTATTGAGTCCTTGTTGTGTGCCCTATTCTAAAGGCTTTAGTCTTGGAACAAAAACCCCTTGATTTAGTTACTATTATTAGACATGTTTTGTAAATAAGAAAACAGCTACAGAGAAGTTAAGTAATCCACCAAGAACACACAGCTAATAAGTGGCTTAGCTAGGATTTGAACCTGAACCGTCTGGTTCTGGGCTCTGCTAAATTCTTAGCCTCACAAACGAGGACTTCTGTTTAGATCACGAATCTATATAGTGGTTTTGTTTTCTGGGGATGTAATATGTGTTACACTTCTAATTAAAACGTCATGAACATTATTTCATTTTTCTTGGTGATTAAAAAGAAACTTAAGGATTTTGTAATGCTTAAAGGTCATCATCCATTATGAGTATCAGATTGTTGATGGCCTGAGGAAAAAAATTTGTTATTTAGATTCTCTTCATTGTGATTTACTAGATGTATTTATGTACATTAGATAATTGAACACCTTTTTGGAAACTGGATTTTCCCGTACTGGAACTCTGCTTCACTTAGGCAATGAGTCTTTAATCCTTTGGAAAGTGATTAGTCAGCATGGACTGTATGAGATTGTGGTCTTTGGGAAATTAAAAGCCTGGCTTCTCGTTTACATCTCACATTTTGTTGTCTCCTGTCCTTTCATGTAGCTATATGACTTTGGCCTTTAAGATCCTCTTCCCAAAAAACTTGTGTGCACTTGGCCGAAGAGAACTGTGCCTGTTCCGAGAACAATATCACTGGCCTGACATAAGGAAATTCAGCCAGTGCTTGGAAACAGATCTGCTACGTGGGCGTTGCCTCCTCCTGCGAAGAAAGCCTGTTCTGTCATTCCAGGGAGCCCATCTAAGACCACGTGCCACCTGCCTTGTTTTCTTGCCAGAGTCGCATGTGGGACTCTGCAGTAGCCCCTGTAAGATGGCCGAGCAACGGTTCTGTGTGGACTACGCCAAGCGCAGCACAGCCGGCTGCAAAAAATGCAAGGAGAAGATTGTGAAGGGCGTGTGCCGCATAGGCAAGGTGGTACCCAATCCCTTCTCCGAGTCTGGGGGTGACATGAAAGAATGGTACCACATTAAGTGCATGTTTGAGAAGCTGGAGAGGGCTCGGGCCACCACAAAAAAAATTGAAGACCTCACAGAGCTGGAAGGCTGGGAAGAGCTGGAAGACAACGAGAAGGAACAGATCACCCAGCACATTGCAGGTGGGATGGGGAGTAGGGCTTTCTCATCACACTGGGGCTGATGGAAAAAGGGAGGGGAGGAGAGCCCAGTTTTTTTGTTTTCCTTGGAGAGGGGTACTGTGGATTGAACTCAAGGGCACTCAACCACTGAGCCACATCCCCAGCTTTGTTTTGTATGCTATTTAGAGACAGTCTCACTGAGTTGCTTTGTGCCTTGCTTTTGGCTGAGGCTGGCTTTGAACTCAGATCCTCCTGCCTCAGCCTCCCAAGCTGCTGGGATTATAGGTGTGTGCCACCACGCCCGGCAAGCCCTTTTTTTGTTCCTTTTTTTCTTTAAGCTTTTAAACATTTTATTTGAAAATAATTTCAAACTCACAAGAGTATAAGAATAAAAATAGTGCAAAGAACACTTACCCTCTATAACCAGGTTTACCTACTGCTGAGTTTATTTCCTTTATCGTTTGTGTTCATGTCCTCTCTTTACACATGCACATTTTTTAGTTTTTATCCACCCCCACCCCCAACCATTTAAGTAAGTTGCTACATCATGACCTTTTACCTTTGTGTGTGTGTGTGTGGTACTGGAGATTGCAGGCAGGGATGCTCTACCACTGAGTTGGATGTATTTATGAGACAAGTAAATTGCTGAGGCTGACATGAAATTGGTGATCCTCCTTCCTCAGCCTCCTAAATTGCTGGGATTACAGGCAGGTGCTGCCACACTTTTAAATATTTTAGTTCATGTATCTTAAGAACAGAAATATTATCCTCCAGGACCATAATATTTTTTCCCTGTGACTTATAATTCATTGCTGTACTTAATTTTGCCACTTAACAGCCCCTTCCAGCTGCTTTCTGTATCCTGTTCATCTTCATGTTTTTTTCTTTTTACTATTTCATTTTCAGCATAATAAGAAACCCTTAGTCTTCTCTTGTGTCCTACCCCAGTCACAGAATCTTGTGTGTATCTTATGCCGTTTCTCTTTTTTTTTTTTT